ATGTCAACTAAATTAATTTGAATATCTAAAATCATAAAATCTTGAAAAATAATATGCCATATAACTGGATGTRCACAAGCCAATTACATGCTCAATAATTCTCTGTTTTAGATCCTCTGCTGCTTTCTCACCCAAATGACCCCCAAGCATGTTCTTTTCATTCTCAAACTCATCCTGACATGTCTCCAATTCCTTTCTGAGATGCCAACTTTAATTGTGCCCAAACTTGCAGGATCTGTTGACCTACAAGAACGGAACAGAACAGGTATTTTAAGCCATTTTGAATGATAGCTGATGAGGGCGGATTTGGCCCTCCAATGATATTGTGACACATGGTACCTTGGAACAACAATTAGGTGACACCCGGAACCACTTAGACAAAAAATTGATTCATCAATAGCAAGTACCTTCTTTATGACTATATTATATTTCCTAGATGCATGAAGTATAGAAAAAACACAATGAAATGGTAGGAAAAAGGTCCTTTCTAACAAAGAGAAAGCAATAGATGGTACCCCTTATAATGACACTAGATAAGCAATCTGTTGGATCATTTAAAAACATCAAAGTGTTGGCAAGGAAACCCCTTATAATGGGCTGATATGATGGTATTCCCTCTAAGTTGGGTGATAAATATAGTAGGGACTAGGGATATCACAACACATGAAATCCCTTTCATTTGCCCACTGATGTTTCAAAAATCAGGTCAGACATATTGAACCCAGAAAATTGGATACTGGGAAGCCCAGTTCTGGAGAAGTTATAGCTTCAAAACAGCTAAATGGTATTCAATTGGGAACCAAATAGCTTTCTTGTTCAATCTCTCTCCGATTTTCAGGACATTGATGATTTCACTCTCCCCTATGTTTGGAGTACCCGTTTGAAGTGGCAGGTATGGGTTAGTTTCAAACATTTGATCAAGTTGAATTGAATTATTAGATTTTCCAAGGGTTTTGACTTTGTTGATGACTGCTGTTACTGTTATTAACATATTACTATTTTGTTCCTCATATAGAAAAAGGCCATTAGAGGGTGGAGCTTGGCACAACGATTGGTTTTCTCCATTGTGACCTGGGTGACCAGGGTTCAAATCTTGGAAACAGCCTCTCTGTGTGTGTAGGGGTAAGACTGCATGCATCTATGTGGAGTCTTGGGAGAGGTGGACTGGATTACAGACCCAACCTTTGATTTTGTTTTGGTGAACAAAGAGGTTCTCACTTCTCAGACTCAAATCTGTGCTCTCAAGCTTGGTAGCCCAAGATTTTATGACAAAACCTATTTTTATTCCTCATATATCATTCATAAACAATTTGTGTGCATATTATGTAGTTAATAAATATGACCTCCTTGTTCCAATTGGTTTTCTAGATGACTAACAAGAGTATCAATATTTGCAATGCCGTGCCACAAAGCATGCCAGACCAAATTCCCTAGAACCAAAGCATCTATTAGTATTGAAACTGTTGGTCGAAGAAGACAAAGAAGACCAGCCTAAACAATTTTTATTGCCTTCATTACATGCCACAGGTAAAATCTATGAACAGATTAATCTGAATCATATTAATTCACTAGCTGAAAGCGAAATAGTGAACTGGTGGTTCCAATCTTGCTAATAAATATTACCTCCTTTGTTATTTTACTTCCTTGCCAATCTTTATTGAGTTTGCCCAGTACAGACCTCTCCCGTGCATTTGATTTCCTTAATACACCTTGAATAGCAGCCTTTGCCTGAAACACATACCAGATGGAGAGCTATTTACCTAAACTATTACACAAAATAGATTGTGCATAGCATAGAAAAGATAACAACCTCTGCAAGGTTTGTTGCACTATCTTCAAGTGATGCACTCAAAGACTTCTCCTGGATTCCCAATCTGGACTTTGGAGTTGAAAACCCAGTAAGGTTTTCTAACTTCTAGTCGTGTGAAGAAGTAGGCTTAGCAAGCCATTTGATAGGGACGCCTGTGTTCTTTTTTTACTGTAAATAAAACCTGCAAGCCAATGGGAGGGAGAAGATGACAATTAAAAACTGAAAATCGAAAAGTGAAAACTTCCTATATGGAGAAGTAAATGGAATGGCAAATCTAAGCAGGTGAGCAATCAAAGTAGGTAATAAATCTTCCAACAGAGCAAAATAAAGGAGATAAGCTTTTTCACAGAAGTTCTTAGTTATTAGCTAAAACTTGGATAAAATATAATTTGAAAGAAAATTAAAATTTTCAAACAAGAGCAAATAAAAACTCTACAGAACCCAAGGTTACTTATTGCAAATTTGCAATCCAAAGCTTTTCTTGGGAGGAGCCTTTGCATCAAGCCCAATGACCATTAATTTCCAAAAACAAAAAATATGGCAAACAGATGCAGTTTTTACATTTTTTCTCAACTTTTTTACTATGATCTCAAGTAGTTGCTACTTGATAGTTCTCTTCCTCTCAATTTTCTACTCTAGAGTTTTGATTTTTGAACACATCACCTCATCCCTTCTTATAAATCAAGACAGAGAGAGAGAGAGTGTGTGTGTCTATACGTGTAAGAACTATGAAAAATGCATGAAAAGCCTGAAACGTGGTGCCTAGATGCAGTACTTTTTGACATTGAGGAACCATGAACAAGCAGTGGCACTCGGTAGTCGGCACTCCACAGTGCAAAGTGAAAAGTGCACAAAATCCTTATTTTTGTGCAGCCAAGAGTGAGGTCGGCCATGGGCATAAACCCACACAAAATGGCATCATCTCTATGGTGATTGCTCCTTTTCCTCAAATCTCAGGCTCTCACCTTTTCGTGTCTTTCCTAGAACTTTGTACTGAGGATGCCTAAAAAAAGAACTTATCGAGGATCGTGGGCACATGATGTTTGATGCTTGTCTGTTTTATTTATTATTTAGTTCTTTTTAATAGGTGTTTGGCATCAATGCCGATTTTTCTAAAATGGTGCCACATCAGCATCATGTGGTCTGAAATTTATTTTTTTCTAAAAACACTCAATGATTGATTAACCATTTTATGAAAACGTTTTCTCAGACCATACTTTAGAAATAGAAAAAGGTGTTTTTTCTTCTTTTTTAAAGAGGCAAAAAATAGATGAAGAAAAACTTGCTTCTCTGTTTTAATTTTTAATTCCATACCCACCCACCCTTAATTGGCATGTAGTCATGCATCCAAATTCTTTCTCAAATCTAGGGTTTATCAAAGTGGACCCGATTACCCACCATACCAACAATTTGGACCCATATTAATAACTAAGTAGATGTTGCATATTATCATCAATTAAAAATCTGTTGAGGGTATTAATTATATTTATAGAAACTTTTATTATGAAGAAAAAGAGCCAAAGAAGTAAAGCAGGCATTCCATATTGCCATGCCTTCCATGTAGAGAAAGTGGGTTTTGCTTCTCCACTTTTATAAACCTAGAAAACTTGGAAGAAAATAACATAAAACAAAAAAATTTAAGAGCAGCCGTGGATAGGTTGGAAATCACTAATTGCAAAAGAACTTGATGTAACGATTCCTGGTCATGTATTAGTTTTTTGTGCTAAGTAACTCGTTATTTCGTTTGCTCTCAAGTGGCTGATAACTCAGAAGCTGAAGTGGAGCAGTTCCTGGATTCCTGCTGTGATGAGATTTGTTTTCATGTTAGTTGGGGATAACGCCACCAACCGGTAAGGTTGCCCATTTCCACTTGAATCGGGGAGTGGGTGAGCTAATATAGCTGTTACAAGTCATAATCCCATAAAATGTGGGGTATGGTGGTGAGCTCCTCGGGGTTGTCATGCGGTGGTCAGTCTGACTTGGAAGTGAGCTGCCCGTAAGGTGCCAAGCTGCATGGTGGCGAGCTGCCTGTGAGGTGTTGAGCTGCCTGTAAGTGCCAAGCTGCTTGGTGGCGAGTTGCCTATGAGGTGCCGAGCTATCTGTAAGGTGCCAGGCTGCTAGGTGGTGAGCTGCCTGTGAGGTGCCGAGCTGCCCGTAAGGTGCCAGGCTGCTTGGTGGCGAGCTGTCTGTGAGGTGCCAACCTTCCCGTAAGGTGCCAAGCTGCTTGGTGACGAGCTGCCTATGAAGGTGCCGAACTGCTTGGAAGCGAGCTGCCCGTAAGGTGCCAGGCTGCATGGTGGCGATATGCTTGTGAGGTGCCGAGCTGCTTGGTGGCGAGTTGCCTGTGAGGTGCCGAGCTGCTTGGTGGCGAGCTGCCTGTAAGTGCCAAGCTACTTGGTGGCAAGCTGCCTGTAAGGTGCCGAGCTGCTTGGAAGTCAGTTGCCCGTAAGGTGCCAAGCTGCTTGGTGGCGAACTGCCTATTGGCAAGCTGCCTGTGAGATACCGAGTTGCTTGGTGGTGAACTGTCTGTAAGGTGCCAGACTACATCTAATTGTCATAAGGTATCAGGTGTCATAATGTCATTGGAGGATCAAATCCGCTCTCATCAGAACTCATTCACCTTATTCTTTCCAATAGCCTGAGGCTTTTTCTAGCATTCTTGATAAAACGATGCTTTAGAAGTTCCTTAGCAGTTGGTCTTTGAAATGAAGACGGTAAAAGATATAAAATTAGAATTTTAGATTACACCTTAATAATGTATGAGCATTTAACAAGGTTTCATTATCCATAAAAAAAACTTCGTAGACATGTTATCTAGTTAATATATGATAAAAAATAGAGTTGCTTATTGACGTGGTTCCACTAGGCCAAAAGATTGGAAGACTTTAATACACCCATTACAGATTTACAGTAACATACATGAGCCCCAGACCATAATATATGTGTCCAACATGCATGGCACAACCATAATATATGTGTCCAAATTATACCAAGCCAACCCAGAGTCCCAGCCATTCCCACTGCACCTAAAACTTTTCAACAAAAAAACAAAAAACATATTGAAAAGTATAATTAGATACCTCAGAAGGCACCTTCTTCAAACACAGGGAAACAAATTCTTTCATAGGATGGGAAAAATGTTCATCCAGCTGCACAACACAAACAAAATCACCACCCTTCAAAACAATGAAAAATGACTTTTCCATATGGAAAAAGTAACTCTACTCAACAAAGCCTTAATCCCAAACTACCTCGGAAAGTCGGAATGGTTATATGGCCAAAAAAAAAAAAAAACAAAGATTCATTTTCTAAAGTTAAACAACAGCAGCAGTCTATTTGATACATCAAAGAAAACAAACCTGAGGGGGGTTTTCTCGAGGAATGATGAAAATAACCCACATTGGGTGGAGATCTACAAGTGGAGGTTTCCCTTTGGCCATCTCAATTGCAGTTATCCCCAAATACCAGATATCAGCCTGCATCAAGTAGAATCCAAATGCATGAAACAAGTGGACCAAGGTTCCGTGAAGCAAATAAAATAGGCAACCCTTCTGACACTTACCTTCACGTTGCATCCATCTGAATTTTGAATTACTTCTGGAGCCATCCAGAATGGTGTTCCTACAAATGTCTGCCAGATCTTAAATTTATTAGTACAAAGAGTTGACTGCTACATATAAATTATTAAACATTCCCATCTTATCATAAATAAAATAGATATAGAAAACTCCAATACTGTTATCAAAGCATGGAAATAGCATGACCTTTCTTCTCAAGATTGTCCTTGTTAGTTGTGCAGAAACACCAAAATCAGCAACCAGTTACACACTTTAGAAATAAGATTAAGAAACTAGAATCATCCATGATAAACATCATATAATTTTTCCATGCCAGCCAGGATTAATGATTTTGGCTTTGTTTAGACAAAAAGGCATACCTTAACATCTCCATTCTTTGTTAATAAAATGTTTGCAGCTGCCAAAATGATTATAGGAGGGGTGTTGATAAAGGGTAATTTGGCACGACCTAGCAAGAAGGGGATACATGGGCGCGATCTGATCAAGGGATGACAGCTCAGTATGGTGAGCCTACTTTGCAATATTTAGAGCTCAGGTATTCAGCCACTTCGGCCCAAAACCCACCTCGAGGTAGAGGCACCTCGGCGTTCAATCCAGTTCGAGACTAAAGAATCAAAGTACCAGCTCGGAGCTAATGACCCGAATCGCAATGTAACCGACTCCAGAGGCCTCTCCAACAGATCCCAAGTTTCTTGAGATCACGATGAGCTAATAGATCCCGACTTTTCCGAGATAATGATGAGAACTCGTCCCGACTCTGCCAGAGTCGGAGGTGAAATGATAAACCTTATCTACGTATCGCTCCTTCAAAAGTAGAACGAACCTTATCTCCACACCCCGGAGATCCCAGAGCTATTTCGTGAGACCCACGACTACTCCAGTATATAAAGACAGGAACCTCAAGGCAAAGGTACTCGTGATTACCATACTCTCTAGCATTCAACTCGCATTTACAACATACTTATTGACTTAATCAAAGCGACCTCGCTGGGTTAGCTATCCCGGGTTTTCCGATAGATTGCTTTGCAGACCGATCCAACTCGCCGTCTACCTAGAGTCTAGATCATCCTCCAGCTAGGAGTAGTTAGATCGCGCACCATCAATTGGCGCAATCTGTGGGAATTCGATCGAAAGGTCATTCCTACCTCTTTGCAGCTTCAGCTCAACTTCAACTTCAATGGCATCCTCCACCCACACCGGGAAAAGCATCGAGATGAACACCACCGGGGGGCAAGCCCAGCAACCAACCTCTCCCCAAGCTCCTACGGTGTACATCAGACAGTTCACCATTCCGTTCATAGCGTCTGGAGTCCCATCGCTAACTGCACCTCCGAGCACTGCACAGGTGAGCGCCCCACTTCCCCCAATGGTTGGCACAACTTTCTCTGAGCCCTCCGTGGTTCCTCCCGGAGTGGGGAGTTCCTAGTTCCATGACCTCGTTCAATGCGTCTGGGCCATTTAGATCCAAATGCAATAGTCCAGCAGTTTCAACAGTACCGGCATTATTACTTCTACCAGCAATACCAACACTAGTTCCCTCCACTACAGCCAAGCCAACAACCAGTCCCACCTCGGCACCCAAGGCCCCATCATGGTC